AATTGATCCCTTCTAGAGCCTGAGTGTCTAGCTATTCCCTCCCACTCATACTAAAATCATAGAGTAGAAAATTACTAACAGTTATGCTTGACTAATGGCCAACAGACATGACAAGGTCATGTGTCTAATAATCTTTAAAGGAAATAGTCTGTGAAATGTAGAGGTAGTTTTAATTGGGAAAAATAGAAATGAAAGCATTGGAGAAAAAGATAAAACTAAATATTCCTGAATATTCTCCCAATGAGGGAAAATGAGGAAGGGGCATGCATCAGGGCAAACAATCTGTCCTCTGAGCTTCACCAGGAATTTGTCATTCTAGGGTGTTACACACTGTGATTGTTTGAATGAGAAGGGCCCTACAGGCTCACATTTTTCTTAGTCCCCTGTTGATGAACTGTTTCATGTGGGTTTAGGTGGTATGGCCTTATTGGAGAAGGTGTATCTCTAGAGATGAGGTTTTTGACTCTGTCTTTGTCTTCCTCTTTCTCTGTGTCTATGCCTGTCTCCCTCTGTCTCTGTCTCTGTGTCTGTCTCTCTCTGTCCCCCTTCTCCCCGCTCTCTCTGTCTGCTACCTGTGGACACTGCTCTAGTGTCCTGCTTGTCTGCTTCTTGCCACGATGGACTCCCTCTTTGAAACTGTAAGCAAGCCCACAATTAAATGCTTTCTTTTATAAGAATTGCCTTCATCATAGTGTGTCTTCACAATAAAACAGAAACTAAGACACTTACCATTTCTAGGTCATATAATAAATAGTCTCGGTTTTGCTACTCAGAGTCTCCAGTGCTTGTATTATAAAGTAAGGGTCCATGTTTCTCACACAGTGCAATTAGAATTCTAGCAAACAGAAGTATGAATATTTCCCCAAAATCCTCTTTCAAGATTACCCCTCTGAGTAACTATCCTATGTGAGGACCCTACCTCTGCTGCATTTAGGTTAGCTTCTGCAAGTAAATGATCTTAATAGATAAAAAAAAAAAGGATGCATGACAAGACTACAGTTTGGCAGCATTATATGCACGATAAATAGGTTTGAATAGTGTCATGCATTTGGGGTGAGTGTATATTCTCATTATTTATTAATAAATGATTGCAATTTTCATCTTATCATAAATACTTTTTAAAAACCATTGCTTCACTGTAGCTATAAGCAGATTCTTGTCTTTTTATGTTCCATAGAAGAGATCTTTTACTGAGAAGGAGTTTGATGTGGAAATGAACATTACAAAACAAGGGTTTGAAATTAAAGAATGGACTACAAAACAACATACACACACAAAACCAAAACATTATGTGCAGGGTAGCCCTTGTCTGTAAGACTAATAGAATGGAGCTCATTCTACAAAATAAGTTCAAGTCCTGTTTTATCTGTGAATTCATACCACATCTAGACCTGAACATAAAAACTGAACAAGAGGATAAGAAAAGGGGGGGGGTAGAAAGGGAGATGAGAAAAAAATAGAAATGAACAGAAAGAAAATAAACCTTACGATTATGTCTTCTATCTTTTACAGGCCTGACTTATCAGGCTTCTTTAGAAGTATTTATCTTCTAAAATGGCTTAATCCAAAGATATCTTGGTTCCATCATCTTTTAAATGTATATGTCATAAGTGTATTCCTATTATAATTAAATGTTTTATCTTTCTGCATACTTTAGTTGTCCAGGACGTTTGGATCACACAGGTAATCTCTGTAGTCAGGAATGAGAATTGGCAGTCTCTAAGGCTATACTTACCTACCTTGAAGTTCCAGAGTAACCTGGTTTATTGTATAACATCCTATCTCAATGACAAGGAAATATAAAAACCTCACATTGATTTTATTGATCTTGTTGCTCTTGCTCTAATTACATGCAGTGGTTTGAGTTAAGACTTTTTATTGGTTGTAATAGATTCACAATGAGAAAAAAGTGACTTAAGAGATATAAGCTTCACATTGGATAAAAGAATGTTATGGCTTTAGATTATCCCACATACAGGTTAAAAGACATATATAGTTTGCTGAACTGTTTGAGTTCAGAGACTCTTTGAGCTTCAGATTCCAACTCTGTGAAATGGTTTTGGTAAGTCTTGCCCTCCACAACTGATCGAAGATAGGTAATGAAATAAAGTACTTGGCACAGTGACTAGCATATTTCAGATTTTTCTCTTCAACTGTCTATTGACTTCAGTTTTCCATCAGTGAGTCCTCCTCACCTTAGACATGATACAAAGAAAATGGGAGAGTCTCATCTGACAGCCCTGATCTATAACTTTTTTAGTGTGATAATGTAAGGCAGAGCATGACACTTTTCTGTCTCTTCTACTCAAAGGTATAATGTCAGCTTGGTCCTTACCCAGATAATCTGATTTATCCTATCATAAAATTGACATAACCCATTTTTGAACCTCATATCATCATATCCTTTATCTGAGGCCTATATTCTCTTTAGTCCCAGCAGGAAGAAGTGAGGAAAATATTCTCTAGTATCCTAGCTTGCTTTGTATTACTGTCTGACATTCCAATCACCATGAAGAGATATAATTCCCAAGGCAACTGTAAAAGAAAGCATTTAATCATGGGCTTGCTTACAGTTTCAGGGGTTGGTCCATAACTAACATGGTGGCAAACAAGGCAGCAAGCAGGCAGGCATGGTGCTGAAGTACTAGCTGAAAGCTTACATCTTCTCTGTAAGTTGGAGGCTGAGGGAATGAGACTGTGTGATACATCCTCCAATAAAGCCATACCCAATCTTTTCCAGAACAGACCCACCAACCAGGTAGGGACCAAACATTCAATATCTATGGGGACTACTCTTATTCAAGCCCCTGTATTCCACTCCTTAGCCCTCCCATAGGCATGTAGTCATTCCATAATGAAAAAAATCATTTAATACAACTTCAAGAGTCTCCAGTCTTTCAAATTTGAAAGTCTTTTCTGAGATGCAAGACAATCTTTTCATTGTAATCCCTTGTTAAAAGAGTATATAAATCAAGGTATTTTTTTAAAATCAAATTTTACTTATTCACTTTATAGCCCATTCACTGCCCCCTTCTGGTCACCCCTTCCCACAATCCTTCCCCCATCCCCTTCTTCTCTGAGTGTATGGGAGTTCCCCTGAGTATCCGCCCCCCCCCACCCCACACTTCAGGTCTAGTTATGTTTGAGACTCTGTCAGCAATAATGGGTGGATCTCCCTGTGACACACCTTATAATGTGACATTTTGATACCCACAATTCTTCTATAAATATTAGTATCTCAGACTTCCTTTTGACTTTGTCTCTGAGATTAAATAATTCTAGGACGTGTCCAATACTTTTAAGTCTAGAGTAATCTCACCCTGGTATATCTTCTTCAGAATGGCTTCCTGTGCCCAGAGTGATGTGGATGTGGATGGAGAGCAGATCCAGGATGATTAAGAAAAAAAATATATATTCAAATGCTCATTCTCTTTTTTGGTAGAACTACAGTAACATCTGCCATGAGAAATTTACCTTCCAGAGAAAATAAGATGTCCATTGTAGTGCTGAGTGAAACAATGCCATGCAGCTAGGCAAGTTCTCTACAATAATGTATTGCCCTTCCTTACGTGAAGTACCTAATCACCTGAAATTATATAACACTGCAAATCTAAATATGCACGATGCCATTAAATATTCACTTTTTCATAAATTATGATTTCATTATTAAAACTTTTTTGTTGCAATTGTTTGGATAATCAGAAAGCATGCAATGGTATGCTTATGGAGGTCAGACAACAATTGGTGGAAGACTGTCCTCCTTCCATCATGTGGATCCTACAGAGACAACCTAGGTTGTCAGGTATAGTAGCAGGAGCTAAGCCATCTTGCAGGCCTTCCATTTTAATTTGGAACTCTCTCTTTTTTGCTTCTAACTCCATACTTTGGGCAGAAGTACCTTTTTTCATATTTACTAAGGTGTGTGTTGGAGTACTGAAATAACGGCCTCAGGTTTGGTTTTCAGCTTAGGAGTGAAGTATTGTGGGCTCTTGATCAGGAGTCCAGTATGAACTCTGCTACTTACTATTCCTGTGAACACCACCAGAGTATTTGGATAGTTTGTAACCCTTGAACTTTCCACTAAGAAATGAATTTAATAGTTCTTTTTGTAAAGACCAAAAAGAATCATGTTGAATACATGGCTTTGGTTCCTGATTCATCCTATATTCACTTATTGAAGACTGGAATTCATTAATGTGAGCATTTTGAGCTGTTTCATTGCTACTATCTACTGGGATTATTTTTCATCATGTTTAAACTAAGAGATTCCATAAAATATATAGATAGTTTTAGGGGCCCCAAACAGAGAGTGGAAAGAACAAAAACATTCTGTCAAAAGGCAAGAGAAATGGAAAATGTGTTTTGTTCAAGCACACATTCGCATTTCTTTAGGAAGGACACCACATTTGATCCACACCCATAATGAAAGCATCTTCTAGAATCTATCATTGCATAGGTAGCTGTTGGGCATTATTTTGCTACACATCTCCAGGAAGTGAACTCAAGAACAGATGTTCAGTTAAGTGTTTTGATAAAGAACAAACCTTAAACAAGAAATCCAATTCACTGTGACTTGGTTTTTTATACATCTTTTAATCACATAAGCAAAGCAGGTATTCATTTCTTACAAGTTTGAAAAGAAAGAAAATATGGGGTAAAACAACAAATGAATTTAAAGTCTATTATTTTTTCTCTATCTTCTTTTCTCTACTACTCTCAAGCACATTTATATTCTAATCTCATATTGCCTTATGGTATATTGCCAAAGGTAATTATAAAATTTCAAATAATACTTCACATCAAATCAAACTCAAATCAAATCAAACCTCAACTTAGTAAGCAGCAACGAAGGCATATAATCTATTGTATTATTTCTATGTAACTTCTGACTTCAAGTAAACACTGTGATAGAAGACACTAAACAGTTTTATCAACAACTAATTTCAGCATCAGAAAAACAAAGATTAGCAGGCTCTTTTGATCACACAATAGAGACTACCTTAGATTTCAACAGCAGGTGTAGGGAGGCTGGACTTGGCTTTAGAACGTCTCTTGGCCTTGGATTTAGTGCTTCCCTGGGCTGCTCCTTCAGCTTGGGCTCTATCTTTTTCCTTCAAAGATTCTTCATGGTTGAATGGGTAGGTAGAGGAGCCAGTTTCATTGATGTGGGCCAAAAACTCCATCACTTTTACCTGGCTCCTTTCATCATAGGCTTTTGGACCCCATAGGAACTCATAGGTGGGGGAATCACCATCAGGAACCTGACGGTATTCTAGGTACATTTCCTGCACTAGATCTTCAGTGATGAGCTTCCTGACATTCCCAAAGATGAGGTGTGGGACCTCATCATAGACTCCTAACATATTCAGGAACTTCCAGACCTCCTTCTCTGGGGCACAGTAACCATTTAAGTAGATCACACTTAGGAGAGGGATCAGAATGCCCCTATTGGGAACACCCATCTCATTACTCTCACTTCCATCATCCTGGAAATCTAGCTTACTGACAAGAATGTAGGATCGATCTGTGGATTGGATTTCTTTCAACTCAAGGCCAAAAACCAGATCCATGCGATTGGAAGCTTTCTTAAGGATCTCAGGGAACTGATCCTTAAAACTTTTGGTAACAACATTCAACATTTCTTCCCTCAACAGGGGCTTTTTCTGTTTGTACTTGCTGAGCATGTACTCCATGAGCATCCCAGTCTTCCTTGTTAGAAGATCTTCCTGTGGGCTCTTCTTAGATTGCTGGGCAGTAAAGGAACTCACATTTTTCTTCCGTCGGCTCTTGGCACTTGTATCAGTCCTTTTGCAGGCAATGCAAATACTGAAAGTTGTGGTGCAAGGCATTCCTTGAAACAACTTGGCAAGGGTTTCAGAAGAAGTACTTGGCACAGCATCTAAAGAGGCCTGAGCAGAGGAAGAGGATGATTCTTTTTTCTCTGGTGCCATGGTCTGAGTACCCTCAAGCTCCCGGGACTCAGTTTTGGTCTGATGGCGTTTCTCACGAGCCCGGGCCTTACTCTTCTGTCCCCTGGGCATGATGGACACGGTCAGTAACAGCAGGCAGGAACAGACAGCAGAGCAGGTGACTTGGCTCCCTAGACAGAGAGAATAAGATAATATGAGCACCTTAATTGTGTTTTCAATATATTGCCTTTCATCAATATTCCTTTAACTTTTCCCAAACCCACGGGGTTTCTGTTCTGACTAGCCTGTACGTACTGCCGAGGATCAGCAAGGGAAGGCTCCTAGTGTTTGAGCACCCCTCTGTTCTAGGACTATATCAACTTTTTTTTTTTTAGCTTCTGAGCCACTCCTCTCTGCAGCTCTCATTTGACAGCTCAAAGGTTCCTTGTAGCCCTGAGGGAGACTGCTTCAGGGAGGTTCAGTTCCACTGCACTAACTGGGTACACAGAGTGCTAAGAATTAACAAAGCCCTTTCCGTCTTGGGCACTCTGGAGTCTTCAGTCTTCCTTCAGGTTCCTTACCTAGGCTCCCTGTAAGTTTTGCACCACTCTATTGTAAACTTTTAGACTGAGGATAGTCACCCTTTGAGCTAAAGAGCCTAGTCAAGTGTTGAAACTGGCAACTCTTCTCCTTGTTTTCTGAAGGTGAGCATGTCCTCAGAACAGTGATTATTGCTAATAATGCTACCATGTCCATAGCTTTCAATAGATCTGGGGCTCTAAATAGGCCTCTTCTTTCTGAAAATGATGACTCACTCTAGGTCATTGTCCCAAATTCACTCCTTTCAGGCACTGCACACCAAGGATTACATGAATCTACTCCACTAGGCCAAGGTAGCTGATTTTGTGAAGCTATCTCTCAAGGAAATGAGACAGCACTTTGTCACATCCCTCAAGAGACTTAAAAAGTCCTATATTGCTCTTAACATTTCCTGTTGTTTCCAGTTCATGTAACATACTTCTATGCTTAAACATTAACTAATTCTTTTCTTCTTTGTATATTTTGACCATACTAAATAATGTGTTTCATCATGAAAATTTACACATGTGTATGCAGCAATTTGATCATATTCTTCTGCTATTAGCGTCTCTTGTCTCTGCCCTCCTTCTTCTTCTTCTTCTTCTTCTTCTTCTTCCTCTTCCTCTTCCTCTTCCTCTTCCTCTTCCTCTTCCTCTTCTTCTTCTTCTTTTTTCAGAGACTTGTTTCTCACGGACCTCAGATTAAATCCTTCTGTGTTCTGCATTTTGTACTTTAAACATTGTATCACTACACAATTCAGGATGGCCTTGCTTTTCAGAATATTTTCTCCTGTCTCTGCATTCCTCCCACATGCTTCCCGGGTTGTCTAAATATAAGTTACTTAGGTCTTTTTAGTTTACTTCTTCTGTTAAAAAAACAAAAACATTTTCTTTTGACTGTTATTGTTTGGGTTTGTTTTCTTTCTTCATTTTGGGAGCGAGGGAGCACTTTGACTCTCAAACTCCTGAGGATTTAGTCAGTTTGTTCCATGTTTACTTGCCTAATCTGCACGGGGCCTTCTAGAGCCCAGTGCAAAGGTGGCGGAGTGTGGAAGCACAATTGTTTAGAATGAGTATTCCTTATCACTCATGGTTTAAAGTTTGACTTTAATTGTGGACATCACCACGCCATCTTCAGGGCTCCTTCCTAAGATCAAGGTCCCCTCCTTGTTCTGAAACCTTCTAGGATACGTCACAAACCACAGCTTTCTCAGAACAAGCTCAGTCACCTAGAGATGGAATAGAATGCAGCCCCTTTGATTATCAGAAGAGTACGCTCTTCTTAGTACATATTTTGGCTCCTTACCTTGACTGAAGACTCCTTTTGGCTTTGCTAGCAGCTGTTCTACTGGAAAGCATGCAGGACCTCTGCCAAGGGCGCCAACAACTCAGTTTATCTCCTTCCTACAGGAAAAGAAGGTAGATCACATCCGGTGACGGGTTGGCTTTGAAGATTGACAGCAGGTCTAGGTTGCTAAGGAACCCCATGGTCAGTTCAATTTGGAAGACAACCTGGAATTCCTCCCTGTACTCCGGTAAGTGACAGAGCCTCTTCAAACCTTCACACTTTCCTCAGTCCACAGCACACAAAGTTCCTTCTGTAAGCCCCCAAAACCCAATGCAGCCTATGTCCCCACTTTCCCCACTATGCATTCTTTCATTTCTTAAATCTTCCTGACTCTCCTCATTTTGTTTGTCACCTCATATTTTATGCCCCTCCCACATTGGGACTTTCATCTCAGCTTTAGATAAACATCTCTGCTTTCCCAGAGATAGGAGAGTAACAAGATTGCAATGTCATCCAGTGTATCTCAATCAGGAAATATTTCTACATGCCTAGAATCCTTTCTTCTATTGATTCAAATATGCCAGCAGCAAACATTGCCTTCCTATTTCTTAATCCTTAGAATGGAAGTCTAGATATGACATAAAGCTTTACAGATTTCTTGCTGGCCTCCTAGGGATGAAAAGAGAGTTAAGTCTTCTGCTGTTCACCTACTTTCCACAGTGGTCTAGCAAACCCACTGTACTTCTTGAAGCCCTCCAGGCTCCACAGGAAGCCCACACCTTCCGAGGTCACAGAGCAGGCAATCCAGCCAAGCCTTGCATGAGCGAATATACAGCTGGAGTTTCTCAGGCCTGAGAACAGGACTCTGAGTCCCTGTTTGGGCACAGTCCCTCTCATTTCCCTTGCAGAATTGAAACCCTGCTCATTGCATCCTATTAGGTGCGTTGCTAGGACCTTCAAGGCAGAAATAAAGAACATCCCATACTCTTTGCTGGCTCAACAGAGTGGATTCTGAGGATCCTGCAAATTTTTCTACTTCTGAGCCCACCGAAATATTCTAAATATTCTTTTTTTTCTTATGATTTTAATTTATTTTTTTGCTTTATTTTATTTTTTATTGGATATTTTATTTACATTTCAGATGTTATCCCCCTACCCCATTCCCCCCTTTTTACCTTGACTCCATATTGTGACTTTTTTTGTGAAGAGTCAGATTCACTCTACATCTTGCTCATTATTCCCAGATGTCATGCAGAAAAAAACTAAGGACATACCTCAGCATCATAGATCTCCCCTGTGTTCTCCCATAGTTAAGAACAGGGTCTGGTACGTGCTCCTTATTGCTCCTGGTGTGAGTTCTTTCCAAATAAAATTGCTTTGCCTCTGTTCTCCTGTTGGGTAATTCAAATTAGTTTAGGGACTCTCATTTCTTAGGAGAGCTGATATTAGAGTCAACATTGCAAGGAAGCCTACTTTTTGTCTTCCCAAATAGTGTTCCTTTAGCTTTCTTAATGGGTATCTAACAACCTCAGGATCATAGTCCTGCTGAACTGCAGTTACTACCTTAGGCTAATGTTCTGTTTTGGCTCAAGGGAGATAGATGCCTAGTTTGAATGTCCTGCCTAAGGCATTTGAGGGTTGAGTGAAGGTTTAGATGGATTGCTGAATGAGGCCATAATTTTTGAGGTGCACTGGCGTATTTTTAGTATTCATTCATAGAGTTCTTTTTCTCCTTGTCTTGGAGATTTCTTGGAAAATGAAGTGTCCATGAAAACTCTTGACTATTGTCTATACAGTAAGGTTGCCTGCTGGCACTCTGGGCTTATTGTGAGGTGAGGCTAACTCCAGGTAAGGTGTCACACTCTAAGTCACAGGTACTGAAGTGTCAGAGAAAAATGATGGCAATGCATACTCCTTTATACCAATTAGTATAAGTTTGATAGTATCCCTGTTTTAATGGATTTACCTCAGCCATGGAAAATATCTGTGCAGAATGCTTGTGTGATCCCTAAATTTGCAATTTATTGACATTGCTATATGGCTTTGCTACTGTCATCTTTTTTCGCTTTTATTGAAAGTCGCATTTAAGGTAATATTTTTAATTCTTTGTCTCTGTACTATAATTCAATGCTTTCTGAATAGAATTATTCAGAATAATTACGATTAGGCCTAAGATTAAGTAAGGACTTGATGGCTTTTAGTAATACCGCCAGTTTCCCCTAGGACTTTGGATACTCCATAATGGAGTAGCTGTATTGGAGAATATTGTAAAAGAAAAAAAACATGAATTAAGCAATGTAAGCCCTGCCACAGGTGCAGAGTGTGTGCAATATATAGTGTGGGCTAAAGAAGAGTTCACATTGGGAGGCTAGGCTTAGTGCTGCTGTTAACTAGTCTTGTGAACCTGACCACATACTCTTAACTCCAAAGCAAAACAACTATAAACAGAGGAGATGCTACTGAAGAAAAGAATAGCCAGTACTTCCCGAATAGGGGATTTGTCCTTGATGGTACTAATGCTGGTGTGTGTGTGTGTGTGTGTGTGTGTGTGTATACAGAAGTGTTCTCCAGAATTGGATACAACTCAGAGTTCTTCTAAATAACAGATGTTTGGTTAATCTAGGGACAATATGAGCCAATGATCAAGAGATAAAGATCATTACAGATTAATTTACTCTATATTGTATAATAAGTCCAATGAGTTCAGGTACTTACATATATTTTAATTTACAAACAGAAACACTAAATGGAATAAGGTAAATCAAGTGGCCTGGTAACGCATGTTTCTCATCTCTGCTTCCCTGGAGGCTAAGGGAGAAGGATTAAAAGTTCAAGGCTATTCTTGACAACCTAGTTATATCCATGACTTCAAATTATTTTTAAAAATTAGTTAAAATTGGACTACAGGTATAGCTCAGTGTTAGGGTGTTTGCATAGCATGAGTAAGACCCTAAGTTCAGGACCACTTTCATCTCCCATCTACAAAAAGACTTGGCCTCTGCATAAATTTTTGTTTCTCCATTCACAGCTATTTGTAATGTACCATTTGAAGGGACTCTAGCAGACCTAGTACAGCTAACACTGCAGAATATTTTGCCTTACTTTTCTTCCTTATTTCCTCTACTAAACTGTTAAATTACCTTCCTAAAGTTAGCCACCAAGGTCTATTCCCTTGTTTGTCCACTGACTCATTACTGAAACAAAACACCGAGTTTCAACAATCAAAATTCATTATTTGGCTAATATGTCCAATTAGAATTTACCAG